TGCTCGCTAATCGATAGAAAAGAAGACATCAACGAACGAAAATCAAAGGAATCCAGCAGCCATCAGCAACCCCAATAGCTTCTTTTTCTTCTTAACTGCGCTTTCTTGGAACTCTGGGGATGCTTTGGAGCTCGAAAAATAGTCCGCACCAACGAATCGAACTCTTCCTAGCGACGCTTAGATGCTCCAAACATCCCGTCGACTCGATGGATCATGATGGATCCACAGCCATCACCATCCACGCAGATCTTATTGGAGACGCAGTGCATCTCAGTGACACACAACTGGGCACGGGATGGCACGGGTATAAAACACAACACGCCCAAAATATCCAAAATGGTTGGTTTACAATGTGAAATCCCAAAATTGGATTCTGAAAAGTAGAATCGACCAGACATTTCTGTTTCCCTGGACCTCATTGTTTGACCCGGACCGTTTCTTCTTGGGCTCTAAGACATAATCTTGAATTCTGCACATGTCGGCGTGGCCCCGCAACAACTGCTGCAATCAAAGGCGGAAAATGCTCTGAGAATCTTCTGCCCCAGGGCCGTTGAAGCCAATCGAACACACACTTCCTACACGGGGAAGCGGGAAGCAATGAGCGCCTCCATTCCACAATACAAGTAACACGATATAACACGTGTGTCGCATCATGTCGCATCTGATGAATGCCAACCTTCGCATGGAAGCGATCGAATCTTTTGAATCCGCATTAGCAAGCTCAGTGGCCTGCAGGAAGACCAACCACTTGTCAGAACGTGAATTCCACAGGACAAGCGCCGGCACGGGCAGTCAAGAGTTTCTACTCCTGACATCTCCTGGCAAGTTGGCCGGCACCAAAAAACCCCAGGGATGTGCTGGGCCTGACCAGAAATGGGCTTCAAGAATCTTCAAAATTGATTCAGTGTTGTTTTTCCATTTCAACTGCGCGGGGATAAGTTCGTTCATCTACCATGGGATCCAAAAACCGAAATCGCAGACACCTAGGAAAAAACGATCTTTTCCCAAAAAAGTCGAACTTTTGGAAATCAGCTATTTCCAGGACTGTGCCAATTATACCAACATACCATCAAAAGAACATCCTGGATGAGACATTTATGGAATTTTTACAAGATACAATTCACTTCTTTGTTTTACCTTCACATCGTCAGAAGTGTTTCATCAATTGCGACCATCGAATTTAAAATAATTTGAAGCTATGAGACATGCTAAAAAGGCCTAAAGAAATCTAAAGAACATACGGCTGCACATTATGCCAGGACCTCCAAAAACTATCAAAAACCTACTGTATATTTTTCGGACGGGTTTTTACGGGCTTCCACGGCTAAAAATGCTACAATACGGGTTCCTACGGGTTAGCAAAAGTCGAACTTTTCCCAAAACTTATGGATGGACAAACGATCTTTTCGAATTGCACTACGGGATTTTACGGGTTTTCCTCGGGTTTTCTACGGGTTAGTACACGCTTTCTACGGGTCCCAGAAAATACTGCTATCTGGGCACGATAAAAGTTGTACAGCAATAGCTGATCGCTGGGGTTGTTTCCTGGTTTCCTGGCACCATATACTGTACTGTTGTGGGCATCCTGGATGGGACTATTTAAAGATGAGGGCACATAATGGATACACAATGGCGATCAATGGCGTGGAAAATAAGAATGCGTCAGGGTAAATATCAAAATTATCCAGGTATACCTTTTAAGATATTTCAAGATCCCTTCCAAAACAATGAAACTGTGGGTTTTGGCAAAAAGACGATCTTTTCATCAAAGTACTGCAAATTTGTAGACGTTTGGTTCAGATGGTAGTGAAGCTAAACATTCAAATCGATCGCAATTGACAGGGCTACACTGGGCCAATGTTTCCTCCATGCACAGGCCTCATGCAGTCTCAAGGTCTCCACAAATAAACAACTACCTTAGATTGCAGTAGATCGCAGCATTTGGCAAGGAGGCATTCAATGCATTTCAATGCCAGGATATGCCAGGTGTTGCTTCCCTATCTCCCGAACTCACGGCACATTGATTTTTTCAAGGCAGTATGCAAAAGTTGGCGCAATCAACTTCCGACACTCTCAGACATCATTTTGGATTCGGATCGATCTGGGATTCTCTGGGACCTCCAAAACCTGCTCCAAAACCAGCACATCCCACTGAATTTCGACGAGTTGCCGCATTGCAAACTTCAGCTCAGTTCAATTCAGGTGGGACTTCGTCAGTGCCTGCGGACGTTGCTGTTTTTTCGGCACCACCTTGAGCTCATGAAGCAAAACAACAGGTGGTAGTGGAGTGTTTGCAACCGGCAAATACGAAATTTGATCTAATATGATAACAATTTAGGATAAATTAAAGTCACTATTTGAAATAACGATGGATAAAATCGAATAATTATTGTCAAAATTTGAGAGCAGCCAGTAACCCAAATTTGATTTGGTGGCTGCCTTTTTTTTCACCGCGATGAACGCCTTTAGCGTCCGTAGGCCTATGTTGCGACAGTTTAAACATGATGTTGTGTGAGAGCGATTCGATGGATTTGTTGACTTCGTTGCTCTGTTGGTTGTTCTGTGAATGTTTCATGTTTATGCCAGCGGGGGGAAACCGCGCCAGCGTTTTGACCGTTTTTGAAAACACACACATTTTTAATCCGTCACATGCACATCTGACGTTACGTCACTGGGTTGGGGTGCGTGGGTAGTTACGTCACTGGGTTGGCGGGGGGTGGGGATGTTGACGTTCATGTTAATTTGCGTCACATGCACATCGTACGTTACGTCACTGGGTTGGGGGGTGGTGGGGATGTTAACGTTCATGTTAGTTTGCGTCACATGCGCATCTGACGTTACGTCACTGGGTTTGGGGGGGGGGTTGTGTAAAGAAACGAATCATGAAAGAAAACTAATTATTCTGATTCACACAGGTGGTGTCGATGCGATGTGGCGAATATCAAAGTCCGCCATACCATGCAGTCTCTCGACCAGATCCAACGGCCATGTTAACCCAAAATTGATGCGAAGCATCAGGGTGTGGCAATGGCATTGGATGAACTCCAAGACCAAAAGTCTTTTGGAGCTCACTGGTCGCGCCTTGAAGAACCGTATGGCGATGTAATTAAGGTGGAAAAAAACACCGCACACCTTTTCAGGAACAAATACCCTGTAAATTACAGGTCATCATCAAAAAAACACTTCAAATTCCCGGGGAATTTTAAGCCTATTTTGGGGAATGCATCAGTAGTTTCGCTATGGCGAAAACGACATTTTTTTTCAATACGCTCAAAACGCTGGCGCGGTTTTCCCCCCGATGGGATGTTTATGATTCATAATTGTTTCTGAGTGAAATGACATCTCCGACCTCGAAGTCTTCTTTTGCCAATTAGGAAAGCAATTCCAGATTCAGATGTATAAGATTGCACAAGTTCAAAGGATGTACTGTAACCAGGAAATGGAGCTCTTTTTCTGAGCAGGAGGTCTGAGAACAGAAGTATTAATCTTACACCCAGCACACCCAGAGGTATATAGTTTTCAGAAGAGATGGAATACCAACTTCATCATTCAAGGTTGAGAATATGAACGGATGAAGTTCCATCGACGTTATAGAATATAGAGTACTGTAATAGATGAATATAGTAACATTCTGTAACATTGCAGGGGACTATGTCCTCTCATGCGACGCCGCACCCCATAATTATCCCCCAAAAATATGAAACATCCTATTCACACAAATCCTTTGCTGGCATTGACAATTTCTTGCTTCGGAGTGTGTCAGGTCATGGACTCGGAAAAAGTAAACCAAAAACTTACCACGAGCCCTGAGCGAGATCAGGGGTCTTCAGAAGAGACACAAAGAGGGAGGAAAAACGTGACGGAAAAACATCAAAAAAACTGGTTTTGCATTGATCTCCTCATTTTCTTACCACCAAGATGCAAAACAGGACGGACCGCTAGCATTGAAAACCAGGGCCCATGAAGAACTTGGGATAACCATGGATAACCATGCATAACCCACCCGTAATTTCATGTAATTTCAACAAAATCATCCGTTTCCAACACTCTGCCTAGTTCACTATATTGTTCACTATGCAAATTCACAATGACATGATAATCATGATTTAACATGGTGGCCGTTCCCGCCCGGGCGGAAGGTTTGTGGGAATGGTTGGCGATTGGCGTGTCTGATTGAAAGGCTGCGGTTGAGCACTGCCGGATTAGGGCCATCTCAATCCGCTGCTTCTTGGGGGAAAAAAAAGTGAGGGCATTTTTTTTCCATTCCAGGACTTCCATGTTACGAGTAGGATATGACATAAATTATTACAGTAGGTAGATCCCATTCCTGGGAGAAAAAAATACCGGCGGGACGGGAGCGTCCCGTTGCACATCCACTGGCCATGCCTTTCAGCGGACGGCGCATCAGCAAGACCTGACATCCCTTGTCAACGTTTATCGGACCTCAAATGGGGTTACAAAGCCAAGTAGTTTGGCAAGTAGTTTGGCAAAGCCATGACGGATCCATGGTGCTGGTATATATGCTAACAGGACTGGGGTATATTGATGGGATCCATGTTACCATATATAGCAGCACCATGGATCCTATATGGGAAATGCAATGGTATCAATGGCACAACTCGCCGGCAGCACATGCATTTCAGGCTTGTGATACTCATAGTGTATCCATCCTGCACGATTTTTCAACACCAACGACGCATCCAACGACATCTGGAAACCTAGAAGGTGTCCTCTGCTTCCTTCCACCCCGAGTTGGTTGCGCCATTCCTCCTCCTCAAAGGCGCTGAATCGTGACAGAGCTAGATGCCCAATGGCCTAGTGATGTGTCCTTCCAAAAACATGAATATGAATAGATACAACAATCGAAAAAGATGGTATATAGACTATGATAGAAAATGATTATGGAATATGATTCTATATGATTCTGTATACAAAATATTATATAACATGATAGAAAGGGACAGAATCAGACATCAGACTGACGCAAAACAGGGTCGCCGTCAATTTCTCGCCTTCAGAAGGCGAGATCCAGAGTTGCTGAGCTGAACGACACGTGTAGCCAACTCCTAACACAAACGCTGAAGGCAAGGTCAAAATCAACGTCGTCTCCCTAGGTTCAAAGAAGCGTGCAGAGGGGATCAAACACTCAGAGTCAGTCCAAAATAACAGATCCTACTCTCATGTCACAAAAAAAACAAAGACTTGTCCATCTTGTCATATCTTGTCCTTGGTCAGGATGACATGGCGGTACTCATACTCATTGTCGTAGTACTTCTCCGAGTAGCAGATTCGGTTTGGGAACTGCGGCATGGCTTCCTGCTCATGAGGATCTCAACACCCAAAAATCAGGCCTTGCCATGATTGCCATGTGCCAAGCAAAACATCTGGCAGAAAATAGCTTGAACATGTCTGACATATGGCAGTGTGTCAAAACCTTGTACCCCTGTAGTTCACATCAAAATAGCTGGTAAATGGATGTTCATTCCCCTAAAAATGGTATTAATAGGTATTGATCCATACCCATATGCTGAAACTGTGAAAATTGTGAAAGGCAAGGGCGGGCTTTGTGACTTTGTCTTTCTGGATTTGCAGATCATGGCATATCTACTGAGTTCCTGAGACATCTCTGCACCCCGGGAACCTTCCACACTCATAATCCAGCCACACTCATTTGAAATGGCCAGCCAGCAGCCTTGCGGCCAAAGCCCAACCCGGAGGATGTCGTCTACTTTGAGCCGAAACAACCATCAGCAGGTCTCCTCCCAACACCGTTACAAGGTTTCATTCATTTTCCCCATCACCATGGATTTTTTCACCTATCCCATCCTATCCCCATGATCTCCATCTCGCATCATCTCGCAGCGATGCTGTGTCCCTCACTTTCTCGCCCTCTTCCTTGGCAAGCTGCCGGACATGATCTTCAATAGCCTGCAGCCGTGCCAAAGGACCCAAAGGACCCAAAGGACTCAAAGGACCCAAAGGGCGCTCGGCGGCCATGGCCGAAGTCCCCCGAAAAAACTGATCATCCCCTGTCGATTACCCCGTGGTTATAGGTGGTTATAGGTGGTTAGTATGTTCAAACTAATCAACGGACATCAACGGAGGTTTTGAACACTGTTCAAATCAACAAAAGAAGTACTGAAGACCTGCGCATACTGGCGTCCATCAAAATGCTTCGTCAGGCAAAGGGAGATGTCGTTGGTCTCCATGCAATACCTCCAAGGCTTTACTCCAAGGCGGTGCTGATGATTTTTCCAAACAGCCTTGACATCTGCAAATTTTAGTGCAAAACAGGAGCACGGGAGGCACAATGTGCGCTTGCCTGCCAAGCTCTACTCAATCAAGTTTCAAAGGCTCAAAGGCGCCTTTGGAAAATGTCAAGGTAGAAATTCACACACCGAAATCATGGTACTGCTCTCATCCCAGGATCCCAGGATCTGGGATGATCCGTCCCACAGTCAAAGTGCAGGAGCGAATCACCATGAAATCAACATGAAATCAACATGAAATCAACATTGAGATTCTCCCCTTTTTCAATCTTTTTCACCTCGCAGCACCCAAGATAGCCAAGGCCTTGTTCATGCGTCAAGTAGTATGGCACATCATCATCGACAAAATCCAGGAAGGCTTCGATACCTCGGAAAAATCTCGCCAGCTACTGGAGATAGTCCACCTGTGAGTCCTGAAAGAGGACTCAGCATGACTCAGCTGTTTTCTTGCGCCTTGAATTTGAACTTGGGATGGCTGCAAATATCTGAAAATGGTGTAAACATATCCAAAAATGGTAGTCTTGGTTTTTGTGTGTTTTTGTTCTGTACCTTCTATGCATCATTATCTGACATTATCTGCAAATCTCAGCCCCCAACCTGACTCAGCTGCAATTTCTGGAGTGCGCTCGGTGACGGAGAAACCGGGAGTGAGCCTGACTTTCTATCAGAATCAAAGTTATCTTATCTGGTTGGTGGTATACCTACCCCTCTGAAAAATATGAAACTCAGTTGGGATCAAAAATGGGATTATGACATTCCCAATATATGGAATTCATAAAAGCCATGTTCCAGTCACCACCAACCAGTTATAAATCTTCTATTTAGACTACTGGACCAGAGACAGAAAACAGGTCCGGTCGATGCTTCGAGATGATCCAAGATGGTCACGAGCCCCGTCCACTTCTGAGAACAAGTCCATGTCTTGGGTCTTGAGCCAAGACTTTGCTGAAGATCGTCCAAACTCTGCTTGAAATAGGCCTGCTCCTGTGGCGAAGTTGTCCAGATTTCAGCTTTGACCATGTCACACCATGTGCTTTCCGTGACGTCTCGTTTTTTTCTGCCCGCAGCTCTCGTTTTTTAGGGGTGGACTGTGTATCTGTGTAGACTGTGCAAGAAGATGTAAGAATTCTATGGAATCCGTGACTCTTCTCTGCATCCGATTTGGTACGTCTGTGTCCTAGTCTTCAAGGCGCTACGGCAGGAAGCAAACAAGGACATGTTGCGTGTACAGGAGCCAACTATGAGCATGAGTGAATTATATAACTGCAAGTATTTGATGTGGCCAAAGTCGTGCAGTGAGAAAGAAGGTAGAACGATTTTGAGTGGGTAAACTGAGTCTTGCATTCGGATCAAGACGATGATACAGGGACTACAAAGCAGCAGACTGTCCTTACACAACATCACCCAACATCACCCAACACAGAATGCAGAACACGCGGAAAGCAACGCCTCGCTGCGAGTCATTTTGGCGGCTCCGGAAGAATTGTTCAGCCCGTGAGCCTTGGGGAAGCGGAATGCTGAAGCCATCTGAAATCGAAATCATGTTTGACATTGATAATCCCGTGCTAAATGGTCCCAATTATGTGGAAATTCCATACTAAGCCATGGTTTCTAAGGGAGTGTTTAAGATTGTTAATATTGTGAAAAAAAATGCTTAACATTGTTTAATATGGTTTAATAATGTTTAATATTGTATGGACATCTATCATAAAGCCTAAGCTTAATCAACATTCCTAAACGGATCTGAACGGTATCAGGACACACCTTGCTAAGCCCGATGCTCCACACTCCCAGCCTGACTCTTTGAGCGCCTGCGTACTGAAAAGAAGCACCACAAGGGGGCTGGGCTGTTGCTAGGAAACTCCATGAATATTATGTGATATTATCATTATATATGATTATATGTGAAAATATAATATCCATATCCGCCGACCCCTGCCGACAGCAGGGGGAGCGCGTCAGAGAAGAGATTACAAGCAACAAGTGTTGCGCAAGGCAAGTGAGGGGCAAGCGAGGGGGGGACAGATCAAGCGCTCTTGACTTGATTCTGAGGCCAAAACAGTGGCCACTGCGGTCGATATGTGCGCCTCTCAGCACTGTAGGTACCGAACTTTCGGGAGTCTCCCAATCCCAACAAGGCGGGCAGCTGACCAAGGCTGGCAGCTGCGCCCATTCCGCTGTTTGACCCTTTGAGTCGTTTCTATGGCCTGGTGCTCCGGATATCGTCAGGTTCAAAAGCAACACGCTTGAATTTGGATATCTCACGCTTGATTTCTGGAAGTGATTTAAGTTCCCCATACCATTCCTAGATGCGTCCACGTCATTGTGCGTGAACGTCCTGATCCACCTCGGGTCACCTGCGGTCACCTATCGGACCAAGGTCATGGCACCCCTGGGAGCCATGCCATTGAGAGACTCTGCGCTCAACTCAATGACTTTTCTAGCAGATCAAAGGCGCTGAAGGGGCCGGTGAGAGACTGAAGAGGCTGAAAGGATGAAAGGATGGTAACAGGTGTGCGAGTCAGCCACTGGCAACAGAGGGCGTCAAGCTGCGGCGCTTTTTTGGATGCCGTGATGATTGATGCACCTTGCGTCAGGACCAGGAATCTGGGCTGGACCTTTTGCAAGCAAGGCTGCAGACGATGTGTTGGGCCCAGACGGGTTGACGGCAGAGGTGATTACACACATGAGTTCTGGTGATTCATCCCCAAGTTGTTTCAGGGTGCGGGCAATCGGTAGAATGCACGACTTGAGAATAAACCTCCTTAGTATTTCAAGGACTCCAAGTTCAACGCATTGTTGGGGGCTGGACTGAAAGAATTCTACAACTCTACGACAGCCAATGGAGACAGTTCCACTGGAACTGACCTTGACATCACCTGTTTTCCAGATCCAAACTTGAGGCACGTTCTGAAGCATACCAAGAGAAGCCATTTGGCTCCGGATTTCGACAACCCTGCAAAGCCAGCAAAAGATACAGATTTCATCCGCCCAAATTGGGCAGGAAGTCAAAATAACAAAAACAGTGAGAAAATAGATTATGAACACAAGCTCCAAAAATATTATGTAATAGTACTCGTACTTGTAATTGCCTTTGGGACATCGGACCCTCAATCTTACTCACAGCTGGTTGCCAGCTGCCTCAGTCGCGTGTCAGCCCATTAGGTCTGAGCGAAACAAGGCAGCTCATCAGTCAAGCACCTCAGTAGCTTATCAGGATGTTTACTGAGTGCATTCAGTTCTGCCCAAAGCCTATCTACTTGATGCAACTTCATATGCCCATCCATTGCTTAAGGTCATTTGGTGCCCGCGACATTGCATGGTCCAGCCAGGACTGGTGAATTCCCTTCCGGATTGGCCATCGTTGTGATTTGCAGTTTCGTTGTGCCAGGATCACTATGTCAAGAAGGTGGAAAAACTCAAAGAACAGATTGCCAAATCAGGGACTTCGTGAGCCCTGCTATTTTTTTCCTGAAGACTGACCTGCAACTGCCAGAAGATGTATCAGCATTTGACATGTCTGACATGTCTTTTTAATCAATCACCTGGCATGACGTACAGTGACTCATTTCGTCTTTCCTGGAGACTCTGCATCACTGCAAATCCACAGTTCTTTCCCGACTGTGGTGCAACATTGGAGACATCAGAAGCTAGGACAGAACATATTTCGTTTGAAGCGCATTGATCTCTTGCAATCCCTCTCACACAAAACTTGTTCTCTAGATGCCAGGCATGCCCTTGTCCAGAAGCTCAACAGAAATGAGCAGAAGAAACATGACAGCCAGCAGGATGGCTTCTTTGTTCTTTAATTTGCTTTCCAGAGCATCAGAGCGCTATGGCGCTATGCCGCCTCTGCAAAGTTTCAAGTTCATGGCAGGAGTTTGCTCATCACACAGGTGAGACAGGTCCAGCACTCCAGTTGACCTGAACATTTTGAAGATCTTTGAAGTTGATGTAATTTTCCGACATTTTCGGACATTTTCCGACTTTCGATTTGGAGACTGAGGTCGACAAGTGAGTGAAGCTCTGGAGAACAGATGGCAAGAAATTGGTGAGGCACTCCTGGACGTCTTTGTGCCAAGAATATTAAACCGATGCTACGTAAATCTACGTAACAGCTTTTCTCCCACGTGCACTTTTTGTTGGACTTGTGACTTCCATGGGTCTCCAAGTATCTCCTGCAATCTTACAGCAAAACATGGGAACATGATTTAACATGGTAGGTACAACATGGTACAACCTCCTCGATTCCAATTCCTCTGGGCTGGAGGTTGTGGCGCAACTTTGTCAGTACTACATTTCCATCTTCCAGGCCTGGCGGCAGAGCCCGTGATTAGTGGGGAGGGTCAAAATTTGAGATCCTGCGATGGATGTTGGTTATTTAAGCGCTTACGCGCGACAGCCGGCCAGGGGCCCAACTATGTAGGCCCATTGTGTGGCTATGTTGGCCTATGTTGGCGTATGTTGGCCTATCTTGCGGGCAATGTGGGCCCATCTTGTGGCTATGTTGGCCTATGTTGGCCTCATGTTGACCCATGATGAGCCAAAAGATCCGAAAAATGGGAACACAAAAAAAACACTGTAAAACGCAGGGTATTTTGAAGGTCGGCGGCCTATCTTGGGGCTATGCTGGCCCATCTTGGGGGCCATGTTGCCCCAGCTTGAGGTTATGTCGGCCCGTCTTAGAGCTATGTTGGCCCATCTTGGAGCTATGATGGCCTATCTTGGGGCTATCTTGACCCATCTTGGGCGCTATGTTGGCCCATCTTGGGGCTATGTTGGCCCATCTTGGGGCTATGTTGGCCCATCTTGCGGCCTATGTTGGCCCATGTTGACCCATCTTGAGCCACAAGATCCGAAAAATGGGAAAAAATTGGAAGAGCACAAAACACCGTAAAACGCGGGGGTTTTTGGCGGCCGGGGGTGTCGGCGGCTGGGGCGGCGGCCCCTCTCTCCTACGGAGAGGAGAGAACTACCGTACGGCAAGGACACGGCCAGGGGGCCCCTGGCCGGATTAAAGGGGCTACGCCCCCTGCCGCCGACCCCTGGTCTAGGGGCCTGGAACGTAAGAAGAAAGGTTTAGTGGTGACCTGTTCTTGTGTTGGAAATGTATGTGTGTATTTCTCTTCTGACCCAGCGATGTCCGAAGCGGATCTGCACGTGCTTTCTGGGGCCTTGGCCTTCGGGGGTACGGAGACCCTGGGCGCTGGTGCGTTCCGGGGGATCAGCAGATCAGCTTTGGAGGTTGCAGGGTTGGAAAGGGAGGAGGAGAACAACAACAGCAGCAGCAGCAAGAAGAAGAAGAAGAAGAAGAAGAAGAACAACAACAACAACAACCATAAACCAAAACGAAAACCAAATCCAAAACTACAACAAGAAGAAAAAGATCAACAACAACAAGAACAACAAACAACAGCAACAAGAAAAAGAAGAGGAGCAACAACGACAAGAGCAAGAACAAGAACAAGAACAACAACAGCAACAACAACAACAACAACCACAACAACAAGAACAACGACAACCACAACAACGGCAAGCACAAGCACAAGCACACCGACAACAACCACAAGGCGCCGCAAAACCACTTTTTCTCGGACGCGCTCCCCCTGCAGATGGCTGGGGTCGGCGGATATATATATATATATATACCATAGAATCACCGTTTTACCAGTTAGCCAGTTAGCTCAAGCCCAGGTGGGCCTAAGGATTTGGTTGCTGATATACACCCAAATAAACTTCCCATTCGGAGATATTCCCAATTGGTTGCTGTATCTCCAACACAGATTCCCATTGAATGACCATCTAGAATCTATAGTGTGGTTACATCATGACATATGACATGATAGATGAGATTTTGATGAGCATTACATGAAATATAACATTACACAAAAAATATATGTATATAATGGTTAATTCCAAGCATTTCCATGCTCATTAGTCTGTGGGATTTTTCTAACGCTTGGATGGTCCCATGATATTTACTTAGCCCTGCGACACGGTCCTTGGACTCCAGCTTGGACCGAAGCGGTGCAGAACGAAAGCCGGCTCCAGGAGGACACGAGCAGGGTGGCAGTTGGCAGTGCAGAAACGCAGGAAAAGTCAAGGTTTGGAGCTAGTTTCTAGTCGGTTCAGAAAGTGACGTTTGGCAGTCTGGGATACGGGCCGCGGGCCCAATCCGTCCTTCACTGCCATGGTGTTTTAGCCCTGCGACACGGTCCTTGGACTCCAGCTTGGACCGAAGCGGTGCAGAACGAAAGCCGGCTCCAGGAGGCAGAGCAGGGTGGCAGTTGGCAGTGCAGAAACGCAGGAAAAGTCAAGGTTTGGAGCTAGTTTCTAGTCGGTTCAGAAAGTGACGTTTGGCAGTCTGGGATACGGGCCGCGGGCCCAATCCGTCCTTCACTGCCATGGTGTTTTAGCCCTGCGACACGGTCCTTGGACTCCAGCTTGGACCGAAGCGGTGCAGAACGAAAGCCGGCTCCAGGAGAACACGAGCAGGGTGGCAGTTGGCAGTGCAGAAACGCAAGAAAAGCCAAGGTTTGGAGCTAGTTTCTAGTCGGTTCAGAAAGTGACGTTTGGCAGTCTGGGATACGGGCCGCGGGCCTAATCCGTCCTTCACTGCCATGGTGTTTTAGCCCTGCGACACGGTCCTTGGACTCCAGCTTAGACCGAAGCGGTGCAGAACGAAAGCCGGCGCCAGGAGGACACGAGCAGGGTGGCAGTTGGCAGTGCAGAAACGAAGGTAAAGTCAAGGTTTGGAGCCGCAGAACGAAAGCCGGCTCCAGGAGGACACGAGCAGGGTGGCAGTTGGCAGTGCAGAAACGCAGGAAAAGTCAAGGTTTGGAGCTAGTTTCTAGTCGGTTCAGAAAGTGACGTTTGGCAGTCTGGGATACGGGCCGCGGGCCCAATCCGTCCTTCACTGCCATGGTGTTTAGCCCTGCGACACGGTCCTTGGACTCCCGCTTGGACCGAAGCGGTGCAGAACGAAAGCCGGCTCCAGGAGGACACGAGCAGGGTGGCAGTTGGCAGTGCAGAAACGCAGGAAAAGTCAAGGTTTGGAGCTAGTTTCTAGTCGGTTCAGAAAGTGACGTTTGCCAGTCTAGGATACGGGCCGCGGGCCCAATCCGTCCTTCACTGCCATGGTGTTTTAGCCCTGCGACACGGTCCTTGGACTCCAGCTTGGGCCGAAGCGGTGCAGAACGAAAGCCGGCTCCAGGAGGACACGAGCAGGGTGGCAGTTGGCAGTGCAGAAACGCAGGAAAAGTCAAGGGTTGGAGCTAGTTTCTAGTCGTTCAAGAGAAGTGAAGGGTTGGCAGTCATAGGGATTACGGGGCCGCAGAGGCGCCACAATCCGTCCTTCACTGCCATGGTGTTTTAACCCTGCGACAGGGTCCTTGGACTCCAGCTTGGACCGAAGCTGGGCAGAACGAAAGCCAGCTCCAGGAGGCGAGCAAGGTGGCAGTTGGCAGTGCAGAAACGCAGGTAAAGTCAAGGTTTGGAGCTAGTTTTAGTCGGTTCAGAAAGTAACGTTTGGCAGTCTGGGCTACGGGCCGCGGGCCCAATCCGTCCTTCGCTGCCATGGTGTTTTAGCCCTGCGACAGGGTCCTTGGACTCCAGCTTGGACCGAAGCTGGGCAGAACGAAAGCCAGCTCCAGGAGGCGAGCAAGGTGGCAGTTGGCAGTGCAGAAACGCAGGTACAGTCAAGGTTTGGAGCTAGTTTTAGTCGGTTCAGAAAGTAACGTTTGGCAGTCTGGGCTACGGGCCGCGGGCCCAATCCGTCCTTCACTGCCATGGTGTTTTAGCCCTGCGACAGGGTCCTTGGACTCCAGCTTAGACCGAAGCTGTGCAGAACGAAAGCCAGCTCCAGGAGCACAGAGCAGGGTGGCAGTTGGCAGTGCAGAAACGCAGGTAAAGTCAAGGTTGGAGCTAGTTTTAGTCGGTTCAGAAAGTAACGTTTGGCAGTCTGGGCTACGGGCCGCGGGCCCAATCCGTCCTTCACTGCCATGGTGTTTTAGCCCTGCGACACGGTCCTTGGACTCCAGTTTGGACCGAAGCGGTGCAGAACGAAAGCCGGCTCCAGGAGGACACGAGCAGGGTGGCAGTTGGCAGTGCAGAAACGCAGGAAAAGTCAAGGTTTGGAGCTAGTTCCTAGTCGGTTCAGAAAGTGACGTTTGGCAGTCTGGGATACTGGCCGCGGGCCCAATCCGTCCTTCACTGCCATGGTGTTTTAGCCCTGCGACACGGTCCTTGGACTCCAGCTTGCACCGAAGCGGTGCAGAACGAAAGCCGCCGGCTCCAGGAGGACAGGAGCAGGGTGGCAGTTGGCAGTGCAGAAACGCAGGAAAAGTCAAGGTTTGGAGCTAGTTCCTAGTCGGTTCAGAAAGTGACGTTTGGCAGTCTGGGATACGGGCCGCGGGCCTAATCCGTCCTTCACTGCCATGGTGTTTTAGCCCTGCGACACGGTCCTTGGACTCCAGCTTAGACCGAAGCGGTGCAGAACGAAAGCCGGCGCCAGGAGGACACGAGCAGGGTGGCAGTTGGCAGTGCAGAAACGCAGGTAAAGTCAAGGTTTGGAGCCGCAGGACGAAAGCCGGCTCCAGGAGGACACGAGAAGGGTGGCAGTTGGCAGTGCAGAAACGCAGGAAAAGTCAAGGTTTGGAGCTAGTTTCTAGTCGGTTCAGAAAGTGACGTTTGGCAGTCTGGGGTCCTTCACTGCCATGGTGTTTTTAGCCCTGCGACACGGTCCTTGGACTCCAGCTTGGACCGAAGCGGTGCAGAACGAAAGCCGGCTCCAGGAGGACACGAGCAGGGTGGCAGTTGGCAGTGCAGAAACGCAGGAAAAGTCAAGGTTTGGAGCTAGTTTCTAGTCGGTTCAGAAAGTGACGTTTGGCAGTCTGGGATACGGGCCGCGGGCCCAATCCGTCCTTCACTGCCATGGTGCTTAGCCCTGCGACACGGTCCTTGGACTCCAGCTTGGACCGAAGCGGTGCAGAACGAAAGCCGGCTCCAGGAGGACACGAGCAGGGTGGCAGTTGGCAGTGCAGAAACGCAGGAAAAGTCAAGGTTTGGAGCTAGTTTCTAGTCGGTTCAGGAAGTGACGTTTGGCAGTCTGGGATACGGGCCGCGGGCCCAATCCGTCCTTCACTGCCATGGTGTTTTAGCCCTGCGACACGGTCCTTGGACTCCAGCTTGGACCGTAGCGGTGCAGAACGAAAGCCGGCTCCAGGAGGACACGAGCAGGGTGGCAGTTGGCAGTGCAGAAACGCAGGAAAAGTCAAGGTTTGGAGCTAGTTTCTAGTCGGTCCAGAAAGTGACGTTTGGCAGTCTGGGATACGGGCCGCGGGCCCAATCCGTCCTTCACTGCCATGGTGTTGTAGCCCTGCGACACGGTCCTTGGACTCCAGCTTGGACCGAAGCGGTGCAGAACGGCTCCAGGAGGACACGAGCAGGGTGGCAGTTGGCAGTGCAGAACGGAGGGTAAAGTCAAGGTTTCGGAGCGAGGTTCTAGTCGGTTCAGAAGTGAGTAACGTTTGGCACACTCTGGGGCTACGGGCCGCCCAAGACAGACACGAAAGCGGCTCCAGGAGGACACGAGCAGGGTGGCAGGTGGCAATGCAGAAAACGACAGGAAAAGTCAAGGTTTTGGAGCTAGTTTTCTAGTCGGTTCAGAAAGTGACGTTAGGCAGTCTGGGATTACGGCGCGGGCCCAATCCGGCTTCACTGCCATGGTGGTTATGCCCTGCGACCACGGAGCCGTTGGGACTCAGCTTGGACCCGAAGCGGTCAGGAACGAAATATGCCGGCTCAGGAGGACACGAGCAGCGGTGGCAGTTGGCAGTCGCAGCAAACGCAGGAAAAAAGGAAAGTCAAGGTTTGGAGCTAGTTTCTAGTCGGTTCAGATAACAGTGACGTTTGGGCAGTTCTGGGGTCCCTTCACTGCCATGGGGTTTAGCCCTGCGACACGGTCCTTGGACTCCAGCTTGGACCGAGCGGTGTGGCAGAACCGAAAGCCGGCTCCAGGAGGACACGAGCAGGGTGGCAGTTGGCAGTGCAGAAACGCAGGAAAAGTCAAGGTTTGGAGCTAGTTTCTAGTCGGTTCAGAAAGTGACGTTTGCCAGTCTGGGATACGGGCCGCGGGCCTAATCCGTCCTTCACTGCATTGGTGTTTTAGCCCTGCGACACGGTCCTTGGACTCCAGCTTGGACCGAAGCGGTGCAGAACGAAAGCCGGCTCCAGGAGGACACGAGCAGGGTGGCAGTTGGCAGTGCAGAAACGCAGGAAAAGTCAAGGTTTGGAGCTAGTTTCTAGTCGGTTCAGAAAGTGACGTTTGCTCCAGGAGGACACGAGCAGGGTGGCAGTTGGCAGTGCAGAAACGCAGGAAAAGTCAAGGTTTGGAGCTAGTTTCTTGTCGGTTCAGAAAGTGACGTTTGGCAGTCTGGGATACAGGCCACGGGCCCAATCCGTCCTTCACTGCCATGGTGTTTTAGCCCTGCGACACGGTCCTTGGACTCCAGCTTGGACCGAAGCGGTGCAGAACGAAAGCCGGCTCCAGGAGGACACGAGCAGGGTGGCAGTTGGCAGTGCAGAAACGCAGGAAGTCAAGGTTTGGAGCTAGTTTCTAGTCGGTTCAGAAAGTGACGTTTGGCAGTCTGGGATACGGGCCGCGGGCCCAATCCGTCCTTCACTGCCATGGTGTTTTAGCCCTGCGACACGGTCCTTGGACTCCAGCTTGGACCGAAGCGGTGCAGAACGAAAGCCGGCTCCAGGAGGACACGAGCAGGGTGGCAGTTGGCAGTGCAGAAACGCAGGAAAAGTCAAGGTTTGGAGCTAGTTTCTAGTCGGTTCAGAAAGTGACGGCAGTCTGGGATACGGGCCGCGGGCCCAATCCATCCTTCACTGCCGTGGTGTTTTAGCCATGCGACACGGTCCTTGGACTCCAGCTTGGACCGAAGCGGTGCAGAACGAAAGCCGGCTCCAGGAGGACACGACAGGGTGGCAGTTGGCAGTGCAGAAACGCAGGAAAAGTCAAGGTTTGGAGCTAGTTTCTAGTCGGTTCAGAAAGTGACGTTTGGCAGTCTGGGATACGGGCCGCGGGCCCAATCCGTCCTTCACTGCCATGGTGTTTTAGCCCTGCGACACGGTCCTTGGACTCCAGCTTGGACCGAAGCGGTGCAGAACGAAAGCCGGCTCCAGGAGGACACCAGTGCAGAAACGCAGGAAAAGTCAAGGTTTGGAGCTAGTTTCTAGTCGGTTCAGAAAGTGACGTTTGGCAGTCTGGGATACGGGCCGCGGGCCCAATCCGTCCTTCACTGCCATGGTGTTTTAGCCCTGCGACACGGTCCTTGGACTCCAGCTTGGACCGAAGCGGTGCAGAACGGCTCCAGGAGGACACGAGCAGGGTGGCAGTTGGCAGTGCAGTGTCGTCTCGGGTCTCTTTAGGATGCCATTTAAAGTTTCATACTGCGGTTACGAACGGGGGCTTCGGGTATGGGTCTTAAGTGCTAGAGCAACCCTTTAGGTCCCCAAGACACCTGGCCAATGACGAAAGCTCCTATTTCTTGAGCCATGAAAAAGTGTCAGAGCACATAGTTGTGCGTGTCATCCTGCAGGGGTCCATGCTGCTTGCATGTGCACAGTGCCAAACGCACATACAAATGGTTTGTTTAGGTCAGTTTCTGGTTTCTTTAGGGTTCATTTCATGCTTACGACACAGAGGCAGGCATGACCCTCCAGTTTCCAGGGGTCGGCGGCAGAGGGCGTAGCCCTTTAATATATATAGTATTATAGTGTATTATTATATAGCAATGATGTTTGTTCGAAAAACGTGGCACAGTGTAGCAGAATGCCTATTTCACCTGTCCGTGTGTTCTTTGTGGTCGAACCACAGCACCTTTCACGAAACCTAAATCAGGCATAGTGTGCCATTCACGGGTATTACTGCCATTAGATCATTAGATCTCCAATGGACCCACCAAAAATTGTGTCATTCTGAATCATCCCATCCCCTTAATATTGAAAAATACCTTCAAAACCCCCCGGACTAGTCCCACAAAATATATATATATATATAGATCCAATAATGAACCAATGTTTTGATTCAGTGGTATCAAACATATTAAACTATCAGTAGAGGGTCATTGACCCAGCTCCATGTCCTTCCAGCTTCGACCCCTACCCCAGGTCACGCCTGCACTCAGAAGGCTAGGGTCCGTCACAGCTGCCGCCACCTGACAATCATCATAGGGAGTTCACCAGCCCCCCAGTACGGTGAAGTCCCCAATACGTTTGATGCTTACCCTCTGTTAATTTAACATAGCTATGGAAAGATCCACCATTTTTAATGGGAAAATCCACAATTAATGGTCATGTTCAATAGCTATGTTAAATTACCAGAGGGTAATCAGACCTAAAAAAAACAAACGAATGCGTTTGGGTGTTAAGAGATGTCAAGAGTCTTTAAAAAAAATCATGGACGGGTTAAGACATGATTAATCCTAAGGTGACCTATTGTGGTGATCCAAACAGATTCCCAGGACTCCAGGACCCATTGAAAAAAAGGCCTGGCGGTAGAAGGTGATCGGCTTCTGACCCACGGCATGAGGATTGCCAATGTTGCAAAACACCTCACTGGTCGACTTGGTCGAAGACGGTCGACAAAAATCCAATGAGTTCATTGGTGACGTATTCATACGGTGCAGGTATGTGCAGGTTGCAGCCAGAACTATCCGTGAAGTGCTCAACCTTTCGAAACCCTGGGATTCCTCCAAAAATCGTGGGGACATCTCGCTGTCCCGTGCGAATCATCGCTGGTCAAATCGTCAGTGGTTGTTGGCTCGTCCTCCTATGTTTCTCAGTCGTATCCGTATGTTGATTGGTCTTGTTCTCAGGTTTGTTTAGTAAGTGTATCAAAGCCGTCCTTTTTTGATGTCATCTCCATTGTGTCCACTCAATCTCCAGTTCTTGAGCTGAAAAATCTCACCCATTGTCTGCGGGCTAGTCCTCCATTTTTTGGGGTACCCCAAAATCCAAAGGTCTGATGTTCCCAGGGCAGTCCCGAGGTACTTGGGTGTTTCACCTGCAGCTGAAGCACCAAGCGATCAAAGGGTAGCTTCTCTCCCGCTTTCAGCCTGGGACGGATTGAGATGTTTGCACTGAATCTTACCCATAAACCAATTCTGGGAAAAAGGTGGAAAGGTTCCAGTACAAACATAATCTGCTCATACATTTAAATAACTCAGATCTTTTAGGACAACAGCCAGAAATCAATGCGGTCAGTTGGTTTTCCGATGTTCCACAAACAAAAAACACCTCCCATTTTTCGGGCAAAAAAAACCTCCCCTGAGCGCGAGCAGCTGCTGTGCCAACTCTCCAGCCCTCGCAGGTACCGCCCCACGCACCGCATACTTGGCCATTCGGATCTTGTTGTCCATGTCCTGTACGGTGAACCTGCAGCAGCTGCAACCCGCCAAGGGACAATGGGGAAAGCCTGAGGAAAAATGATGAAAATGGCCGGTTGGATCAGTCGGATCCCGCCAAAATATTGCTGGGCCGGCTGGTCATTTGAACTTCAAAGAGGTCGGCTGTTCTTAAAACGATCAAAAACTCTAAAAAAATATCGAGATCCGGCCAAGAAGAATCTGGATAGACTCAACAAAACGGCAGTTAAATGTAACAGAATGACTTCCAGTGGATGGATGTAACTTTGAAACCTTGGGCGAGAAAAGCGTTAGTGAGGTTGGGAAGAATACCCAGAAGACTCCTTGAAATGGATAGTCTTTAAGAATAAATTGAATAGAACATAATAAGATATAATAAGACTGTATTTATTCCTGGTCTCGACAGAAGTTCTCGTGTATCTAACTTCCAAGATTTGCCCAGTCAAACCAGGGTCGCCTCCCAGGCAAGAAATATGATGGAAGTGATGTCTTTTCATGCCAGAATCATCTCTGTTTTTGGCTCTGGACCCAAACATCAACCCAAAATACTTCAACAGCTCAGTGTGGGTTCGCTGTTCACCAGGGCACTTGTGGGGCATCAAACTGCTGTTCTGCTTCATCAGCTTCCAGTCGTGATTGGACACATTCCATGTTTGCGCCATGGCGGATCAAGGTCCAGGTGAAGTCCGGAGAGTCGGGATGTCAGGGAGGATTACACCCATGCCCATGGATGTGAAGGGATTATGATCACTGGCAACTGCTCAATTGCCTTTTGTGTGTATGTGTTGAATAAGCCCGTGTGCTTTGGCTTGTCTCTATCCCCAACTTGCACGTAGCATGAGGCTGAAGATGTCATAGGTTGTCACACATTCGCATTTCGTGGTGTCATAGGTTGTCACACATTGCCATTTCGTGGCATCTTGTGACATTTCTGTGCATTTCTGGCATTTAAAAAAGGCTCAAGCCAAACTGCGCCCACATCCATGCCACTGGGTCCCAAGTTGGAGAAACACCCAAATCAATGGATGTCTTGGATGACAAGTTCACTAGACATCACCAACCTTTACGGGGCAAGAACCTAGAAGTGTCTCTATCTATCTATCTATCTAATCTAATCTAATCTAATCTTATCTTATCTTATCTAATCTTATCTAATCTTATCTAATCTAATCTAATCTAATCTTATCTTATCTATCTATCTATCTATCTATCTATCTGTCTATCTATCTATCTATTGGTTGGTGGTTTCAATCCCCCGGACAAATGTTCGCCAGCTGGGACCATCCCCTTAATAAAGGCTCTATAACAAACAAATTATTGATGTGAAACCACCAAGCAGTGATCAATATTCCCCATCTCAAAATATCACATATTGTTGCTTATAGATTATAGATTCCCATTATATGCCCAGTATATGTTGAGTAAATCTATATGCCCATTAGAAAATCTCATGAAAATCCCATGGGTTAAATCAAGCCATCTGCCAGACGAAATCAAAAGGCTGCCCCTGAGCTGATCCAACTCTGGCATCTCTAGCGGATCCTCAGCAGCCGGGATGTCTGAAAATGGGGGAAGTAGCAACCGACAAACTACTGAAATACTACTTAAATAGTGATAAATCACGGTTCTATCATGTTATATCTTAATCTTTTTGGGGATTATGTCATACGTATAACGGAATACCCCATCCATTTCCCCTGATGATTCACTAGTGGATGTTGGGGTATACGCCATTTTTGGACAAAGCCATTTCTTGGAAAGGGGTGTGACCTGCACAAGCCTAAGGCCTGACGTCATCACTGATATCACTGAACTTGAACCCCTTCAGTTTCGGATCCCACAGAAGCTCACCCTTGGCAAATCAGCAGTAGCCGATTAAGGCGGCTACTGGTGGTTGGATGGATTGGCTCTTCACATGAGTGATAAAGCAAAAAACAACTTGATGCTCTGAAAAAGAAAAAAAATGTTTACTCCCTTCGTGGAAGGAGAACCCTACAGAAATCCACCACAAGCATGACAGCATGCATCAAATCGAGCCGCGTTCAAAAGCCTCTGTCGTCCCTAAACCTACGTACTGTAAACATACTGATTGGATCTTGTCGGTTGATAGGAATTCCCAATGAGTTATTTCATAATCCCCAAAATTCCCCCAGAAACCCAGCTAGATTCATCAACTACAGGATGGCCCCCTTATCAATTGCTTTACAATCCAAGCTGTAGATACATCCATCAAAAACTATCCTCCACCAAATTCAAATCCACCAAATCCAAGGTATGCTGGTTGTATGCTGGTTGTAGATGTCGTATCTTTCAACCGATCAACGGAGCAACAGACATCGCCGATATCGGCTCCCTGCGGCATCCAAGGCTCTTTCCAGGTGCCAAATCCAAGGCCGTTCTCGGTTTGGCGCATTTGCTCCGTAAGATCCTCGATGTAACCGGTAGAACGGGATATGTAATAGAATACTCTCCCGTGTCATCAAACACGGCTGGCTCATGGCTGGAAAATCCTCGGACTAGTGACTTAGAGGGATGCTTCCATAGTTGCCACCTTTGATTACCAGAGGGTATCCATAGTTCATGGATGTTGATGGGATTTTATCAATTTTATCCCATTCCCCCAATACCAAACACCTCTTTTTTGCTAGGGTTCCAAGTATGTGATTTACAATCCCCTACTATTCAAACCATGGTTTATGGGGTGTGTTTAGTATGAAGGGGAGCCTGGATTACTGTAGTCAGGCTTTGTCCAATTTTTAGGGTGGAAAAAACATTGGCCAAAATTCCCGTGAGAAAATCATGGTGCGCATTCCACAAAGCCAAAAGACAACGCTGCGAAGTACAGGTGATGTCCATGTCACCCCATGTTTGCTTCGGTTGGATACACCAAGTTTGACCGTTTGACCCATGCCAATATCATCCAATATCATCCAATATCATCCAATATCATCCAATCCCCAATATCATCCAAGTGACTGATGAATCTCTGTCAGAATTCCGCCGAGATTCCGTGACATGAACCAATCTTCGAAATGAAATGTATTAGGACAGCTATAAAGTGATGGGGGGTGTTGATTTTTCTCTGTTTTTTTTAATGTTCTTTGTCTTTCTAGGAAACATGGAGCCATTGGAGAAGCAGTTAAGAAATACTTTTTGAGAATAAGCAGCGTTTCAGTACGCAGCGGAGATCATTTCAATCCTCCATGGTGTATCTTTCAGGTGAATCTATCGAAACTGCGGCTTCTCTTCAACTTGTTCATCGCATTTCATCTTTGAAACCGATGCCTGCTGTTGATGTCGCCCATTTTGTCGTTGGCTCAAAGTTGGTATCGCGAAGGGTATGGTTCAACACTAAAACTGACATAAACTGACTGATTGTCTCAAAATTGTCTCAAAGATTGTCTCAGAATTTGACCTCAAGATCCTTTGTTACCCAGTTACCCAGGAATCCTCCCTTTGATGGTCTAATCATGGCTGAGGTATGCTGAGGTACACCATTTTTGCTGCTTAGCGTTTTTCTGGTTGAATCATGTTGAATCCTCATCTTTGGTTTGTGAAATCTCCCATGTTTTGTATGAAATCCCAACATCTTCGTTCAATCCCCGCATTTGGTTGATTCGGTTGCTGAAATCTTCCATGTCTTCAGGATACCTATTGTTGCTTGTCTTAGATGGGTGTTTCTCCGAATTGGGGGACCTCTTTTCATCAGCTTCACCATCAAAAATTACCAAATCTTGGGTGAATTATGAGAGTCCCCAACCTTGAGAACCTCTCATGTTCAAACCAAACCATCATAATTCATAAATCATTCCCCTATATCTATCTAAGTCTATCTATATCTGAGTGTTTTTTTTTAACACTTCTCCAGTTCTCCAGTTCTCCCCAGGTGAAATTCCCCATGGCCTCACGACATCGCTTCATCATCGCTTCACCATGGGCCCTGGCCCTCTCAGCCGAGGTCACCTGATCAAATCATCATGGAGAATGACAGCATTTTTTCACATATTTAAACATCATACCAGTATACCAGTAATTTGAGATTAGATCTCAAATTAAAGTACAATATGTTTTAACTAACATCAAAAATGGAGACCATGAAAAAATCTGGATATTCTATGGGAATGTATGGGATATTGAGATATCTTTACCATGAATGGTGGTAAAAAAGAAAACAGTAGTAATGGGCGTATTAGGCGTTGATGGCGGGATATCAACCATTGATGGGGATGTTGCATCCTTTCGCCGGAAAGCTCAGCCTTTGGGGGAGATTTAACATGATTTAACCATGGCTCACCATCCCCAAGACCCAACACCCAACGAGGAATGAAATCGGAATGGTTTTTCAGTCAGGTAGGGAACTGAAAAACACACGAAGTGACTCAACATCACCATCTTCAACAGCCATCTGGTGAGGTCTGAAAAAAGGGAACACTTTTATTGGGAACCTGAACACATCGGGGTGACTCTTGGATGGAATCAAGAAGCGACGGAGTTAGCCTCAGAAGTTTCTTACTTTGATGCACACGGGACATTCAACAAAGATCTGAAACAAGTCTTTTTTGTGGCAAAAACCCAAAGATCTGCGCTGTTTTCCCTCACATTCGCTTCACCCTGAGATGCACTGGGTGTCCATACATTCCCGCGAACCTTCGAAGGAACTCCAGGGATGGGCTCATTCTGCCGCGACAACTGGCCCAGGAGGAGTACCATACACAACCGGAAAGGGTGGTCGATAGCACCGTTCATTGATGATCATTGATGGACCAGAAAAGATGGAAACGTGATAGAACACGTTTAAGCCGAATGCACATCACTAGCTGTGAGCACACGTCATGTAAAAAAACAATCCCAAAGCTTTGCCACTCCTGTACAATCTCGGCTAAAATCTTCGTGACTGTCAAGGGGCACTCTGGTGGGGCACTCTGGTGGGGCACTCCGGTGGGGCACTCTGGTGGGGCACTCTTGCAAGACACCTTCTGGCAAAAAACTGGTTTGACACTTTCGTGAGACACTCCTGTGAGACACTTCTGCGAGACACTCTTGTGAGACACTCTTGGAAGACATTATCGTGAAGAGGCTCCTGTGGGAGGCTCTCGTAAGGCACTCTTTGAAAACATTCTTTTAAGACACTCTTGCAAGACACTCCGTAAGACACTTTCGTAAGACACTCTTCAAAAGCACTCTTGTGCAAAATATTGCAAGACGCTCTTTGAGGACACTCTTCTGAAACAACCTTGTGGGAAACCTTTGTAAGACGTTCTTGTGAGACACTTCCGTGGGACATTCTTGTGAGACACCCTTGTAAGGCAATCTTTTGAAACACTCCTAGCCTGGACACTCTTTTGGGAGACTCCTGTGAGACACTCCGACTGGACACGCTTTCGAGACGCTCCTGTGGAAAAACTTGCAACACGACACCTCCAAAGTACTGCACTTGCCGCACAAAATGAACCTGTCACTTGTGTGCCACACAAAATAAACTTTGTCTTGCAAGGATGATGCTAAAGTAGCGCGCCTGCCACAGAAAGATTTCGACAAGTAGGCATGACACCTTAAGCCTTAAGCCTTAAGCCTTACATGATGAGTTCCAGGGTGCGTGACACTTTTCCGGACCTTAAAACACCTCCTGAGTGACACCCATTGCAGCTTTCCCAAGTGGAACTCATGATCGCATGGGGCAACAAGATGTGCGAACGG